TCTTATTTCCTGCGCGTGCGCCAAGCGATGAGGTCCGCGACGGCCGTTTTGTTGGAACCAGCCTTTGCCTCGTGCTTGCCAGCTTTGAGGAAGAAGAAGGCATGTCGACAAAGGGTTGAAGGTTGAACGTCCAGACGTGGCAGGAAGTCGCAGGATTGAAGCCTTGCCAGAAGTATTTGAGATAATATATTTGTGGCATGGATGATGTGTGGAAGAGTGATATTGCAGAGAATGATGATCTCCAGACACCTTTGAAACTACTCCCCATCCAGCCATTCTGCACACTCACCCTGGAAGAGGCATGTGTCCTTCCACAGAGCCTCGCGGACATGATCGGCATTGAGAGGGACCGACTTGGCGGGTCCTTCATTTCAGAAGTGTTCCAAAGGCTTTCAATGCAAACCGAAAACCATGGTTAGATCGAACAAAAATCGCCCAAAACACGAACACACGAAAAACCGGTTGAGGAAGACGCACTGGTTTGACGAACGGAAGCACCGGACCGGAGGAGCATACCTGGACGGACGTCTTTTCTGAGAGCATCGGAGCGGCCACTCGACCCAAGAGACAGGGCGACCGTGGTCCGCCGTTGGCGTTGGTCGCCGTTGTGACTGGCGTTGGCGTCCAAGCATGGGGTTTGAAGCAGGAAGTAAGAAGGAATGAAGGGCTGTTGCTAGGTTGGAGGCCATCCCAGTAGGTTGGAATAATTAAAGGGCCTCTTGAGCGAACTTACGAAAGGGAGCCCGGAGTCCCTAGGTTTGCAAATTGCACCAAGGCCCTGGCAGTTAGCTTCCTCATATGGCGGAACAATGATACAATCGGCAGAAGCCCTAGATCGTTGATGCCAACCTTGGTCGGTAGTAGCATAGCCTTGCTCGTTTAATAATTGTTAAGAAGAGAGGCCAAAGGCTCTTTTGAGATGAGTCCAGGACCTTTTTGAAATAGCTGTCTTGCCGGCAGCGGTTGAGGTTGGCTTTTCCAGGACATTATTGCGATCGCATTTCTCTTGACATTGCAAAGAACCGTGCGTTTGCCTAATCTGAAGGTGTTTTGGCCGCAACCAGCCTTCAAGAGGGTTGTTAGAAGCATTTAATTCTATCTTTACAGACCTTTGAACAAGCATTTTGGACTCGCAGATTTTTGATTCAATCCAGAACATCTATATAGAGGAGGCCTTTTTTGCCTCAGGTCGGCTGTTTGCTACTGATTTGCACCTTCTTCTTCGACATCTTCTGGGTCTTCCTCTCACCGCTGATCTTCAAGAAGTCAGTAATGATCGAGGCACCCATAGAGAGAGAGAGAGAGAGGGGAAAGAAACACAGGGATGAACAGGGTCTTCAACCGCAACCAGTCTTATCTTGGCACAGCTCGATCGTCCGGCATCCGGAGGTTGCGACGGGAGGTGGCACTGGTCAAGCGGTGTAAGAAGCTCAGTTGGTTCCAGTCACAGCTACATGGCTGTTCCGCCCGACCTGGGGGGGCGCACGACCGGGAATGAGATCCTCTGCTGTGTCCAAGGCCCATGGTGTTGAAGATCCCGGCACTTCAGGGCGATTTGCCCGGTCAGTTCAAGGCACTTTCGACCACGCGACACCAAAACGCGGCACTCGCTTTTTCTCTGGAGCCTCAATCTGCGCGCCCCTTGAAGTGGACGATCTTCGGTTCGTGTGGTGCAATCAACAACTTGAGCGCAGGATCCTGTCGGATCACAGCTTTTGATTGAAGCTACAGTGAAGAGCAGAGGCGACATGTTCCAGATAATATGGCTAAATAAAGCCAAATACTAAGCACATGAAACATGCATCCTGTAATTGTTCTTCCAAGACAATGATGGCAGGGAGCTCATTTGTCATGGGTTCGTTTCTTATTTCTGCGCCAGATTCTGGGCTTGGGCGATATTGCCATCCCTGGGTTGCTGATTTCTTTGCTTTTGCCTCTTCCTGAGAGTTTGCTGTGTGGCAAACCAGTGTTTGCCCCATGACCTTTGGGGTTTCTGTCCCCTACTCCAAGGCGTCATGACCTGGTGAGGAAGCACCGGCGATGCCGCGGGTGCGGGGCTGAGTGACGTGCAACACCGGGATGTGCACGTCCTCGTTCCGAACCGTTTCTTCTTGTTACATCGAACGTCGTAGCGATGGCCTTTGCTCCGAACGTAGCGTCCGATCGCTCCGAACGTAGTACGGCCAGGAGACCCGTTTGTAGCATCCTTGTTACTAGTAGCGATGGCCTCCACCTAGTAGCCTCTTGATTCTTGCTAGTATAGCTCTGGGTTTCATTGGTTGGCCGAGACGGATTTGTTGCCTTGCGCTGTCAAGCAAGACGGGTATTCCTAGATCACACAGCATCGAAATTGGAAGAACACGCAGCTTTCGATTCGCTTTGACAGGTATTTCTTGGCAGGCGTGATAGGCTATGCTATTGGGTTGCTTGCCACGTTTGTGCAGGGGACTTGGACAATCACAGCTCCTGTCAGAGAAGTGTTAGCTTGAACATTTGTTGACGGTGGCCATAAGTCATTTACTTCAATTGGGTGCTGAAGTGTCTCAACACAGCCAACACAAAACCCCGCCTTTGGATTCTTCACGATGCGACTCAGGTCCCTCTACTTGATGCAACATGGCCAGCCAGCTCTGTTGTTTTTGGTGCCTGGCACCCTGGCCCTGGCCTCAAGGCCACGCCTTCTCTGGCGGTCAAGGCGACACGTGCCGATGCAGCTGAACACCGAAGATCTTCGCCGAACGACCCGCCACCCGAGCGATGTGGGGCGATCGCTTGAGGTGCCGACCTGCTTGATCGCGCTTCGAAAGGCCAGTGATTGCGGTGGCGAGGATCGGGGTAGGTGGCCACCAGGTAGGTGGCCAGGATATGCCAGGATGGGGTAGGTGACATGGGATGAAAGATGAACAACAGTGACCGAGTTTCTAATAGCTTCTTGTTACTACTAGCGTGGCACCTGTTACTACTAGCTTGTGACCGAGTTTCTAGGTGCTGGAAATTGAGGTAAATAGCTTCCACGTTGCGAAGCTTGGGACCTAGAAATATGCCTCTTCAGCGTCGCCAACGTCTACTTTCTTCAAGACCTCCGCTATTAGGGTGGAGGCCATTCCTATTTGGTTGGAGGTCATCGCTACTCTTCTTCTGTTCATGTTTCGGGCTTCGATCCATCTTGTTTCGCAGGGGGAGCTTCGAGAGCTTTGGTCGGCCTCCTATGGTCCGGAATCTGAAGGCACTCGCATTGAGTGGTTGACAACTGTATGGGTTGATGGCGCGTCGGATAGAGGTCATCCACTTCTTCACTTGTGGAAATTCTCGTGGGATTTACTCTGGTGCAAGTTCTACTGGTTTTCAGACCTCCACAAGAGATTCTTTGGGCTTTTGGCAGACCTCCAAACGGCCCACCAACGCCGTTCTGGCTGGCCAGGTGATGTGGAGACGGCGAAGAAGAACTGAAGCGTTTGAAGCAGACCGGTGGAGTTACCAAAGAAGAAATGGTAGCGATACGAGGTTGGAGGCCATTCCTATTAGGTTGGAGGCCATCGCTACTAGGGTGGAGGCCATCGATATTGCCATGACATGCGGTGCCAAGGGCTATGTTCAAGGCAATTCTGCCCGGTCGGGTGCAGGGTGGAGCTGTTTCATCTTTGAGCTTGAAACAAGACTCCTTTGCTCTTTTATGCGTCCGCAAGTCCACATTGGCCGTGAAAAGGATGTGCGAGCAAGCTGTGCAATCAGTGTCATGCACAAACAGGCATTACCAGTGTCGTTCTTCCAGCGAAGACCTGGAAGGGACCTCCCACCCGAAAATCCGATCGCTCCGTTCGTAGCGAGGCCAGGAGCCCCGTTCGTAGAGTCCATTCGTAGGATGCGTTGAGCAAGGTTTGGTTCACAGTTGAAAACACCAGTTGAACGGAGCATACCCGAGTTGAAAACACCAAAGCTGATGCGTTTCACTAGTGCTGCTTATATACAAGCTAACAGTATCACAGGCCAGAGCAGCAAAACCCAGAAAATACACAAGCAACGTCTGCACTCATGCCAAATTCCTACACTCCGACTCACTAACATGGAAGTGGAAAGCCATCCGTTTGTAAAGGAAAGTAGTCTTCCAAGGGACCATTTTCCACTTCCATGTACTAGTGAGTCAGAGTTTATAAATCCTCTTGCGTGGAGTCGATTCCGAATGATCTACTTCTATGTACGGTGGCGTTCTGTGGAGTGCACTTCGATGAACTGTCAGAGCAACCACTTCCTGCCATAGCAAGGTGCATCGCTACGAACGGAACAAGTGCATCGCTAGGAACGTAGCTAGAAACTACTACTAGGAACGTAGCTTCTTGCTATGTCGCTCTAAATCCGGTGCCATGTGTGACGCCTCCTTCGCCTCGTTGCCCGCGGAGAGCCTACTGGTGGCCGCGGATCAGCGCCTGCGGAACGGTACGCGAGGGCTTTGCTTCGAGGTGTTGGGCTTTGTTTCGATTGCTTCTTGGAGCTCAGAATGGACAGGAGAAAAGCATCGAAACACAATAAAGGGCTGTGGAGAAGCAAAGTTTAAGGCTTTGTGTGCTAATGGAGGACTTTGGACATGCATATTCAACAGGAGTCTCACGGAGTCATGTGCAAGTATTTTCTGCTGTTTTGTCAATCTTTGAATGTGTGGGTGCGTGAGCGCTGCTGTTTTGGCTCAATGTGGCAACGGCCACACACTTGACTGTGGCCGGTTGAGTTCTGTGAAGGACTACGGACGTGAACCCGGTCCCACTGGAGCCGTAAAATCCAATGATGGGGGCAGGACGGTTCAACACAGAATTTCTGCAAAAGAAGATGCGCCATGAGGATAGTCAGGGCATTAGTTCACGGTTTACATGTTATCATGTTACATGAACTTTTGAAGTGACAGGTGATGACGGATGATGTCCATGGTTTCATATCGAAAGAAAAAATGGTTCGATCCTCATATCAACTCATTTATCTCACCACTTGACGCCGCCTCCGAAACCACCATGGCACCCGCCTCGGGGCCGGCGAAGATGGCCTCGTGGTCGGGTTCGCGGCGGCCGCGTGAGTTTGGCACCATCTTCTTCAGTGACGGTGATATCTATGTGGGGGAGTACTATACTGGCAAGAGGTTTGGGGTCTTAAAAGCAAAGAGAGCAAGATCTTGTTCCCTTTCGTTCCTTCTTCTCTTCTTTTTTCCTTTCTTCTTCTTCCTCTTCCTCCTGCTTCTTCTTTTTCTTCTTTCCTCCAAGCGGTTGGAACATGTCGATCTGGTAGATCCCCGGTACATCCCCTGTTCCTCAGCGAGGAATCAGAAGATCCGCGATGGCTGGGGAGTTGAGCTCAGACACTTCGGCGAACGATACGAAGGTGAATGGTGCAATGGCCATCGAGAAGGGCTCGGCATTCTGACATGTACCAATTCTCAACGAGCGTGTCTTGGACGCCAAGGGCCCATTCTCTCCACTTCTCCAAGGGTCATTCAAGAAAAAGCAGGTTTCGTTTTGTGGATCCCAGAACGAGCTGTGTGAAAAACGGCTGGGCTCCAAAATGCACTATTTCTCTCAGTGGTCAGGCCGTTTGTTGGAATGCAAGTAGCAAAACCTTTGGAAGGGAAAAGTCGATGTCACACAGATTTCCCTTACGGATCGAGAAGGGGGAAGCGTCTCTTAGTAGATCCTTTTTCATCCTTTTTCCTTCTTCATCCTTCTTCATCCTTCTTCTATGTCTCCAGTGCACACGTTCACCACACCACACAGACAAGTCCGCTTTTCCACTCTGAGGCCTTCGTTGCACCTCTCCGATCTCGACCAAAACTGTAAAGATTTCATCGGCGCCGAGCGCTTCTGCGGTCGCTTCAAGCGAGGCGGACGGCACGGCGGTGTGGGGGTCACGAGCTGCGGCACGTTGGTCCGGGAGGTGTGGCAGCGGCGCGAAAACGGGCGGCGCAAGGCGAAAGCTCTTCAGCCGTTGCAACGGGTGCCACTCTTTTCGTGTGAGCCGAGTAGTCCAAGTCACCAGAACCATCAGAGCCCCAGCTCGAGCCATTCGGACGAGGAGCGGCTCCGCTCCACGCGCCGTTCGGAGCGGGTCCGCGAGCGGGTCCGGCGCTCACGGATTACGTCGATGTCTGAGTGGACAGTCCGTGAAGTGCAATATTTTTGTGCATGTCTTGGAATAGGGGGTGCGGCTTTGGCTTGCCGCCTTGAAAAGCATGCAGTCAATGGAGATGTCTTGCTCTCCATAGCAGAAAACCACTCTGACTTGGTCAAAGAGCTTTTTCCATTAGATCCTGGCTGCCGTGCGTGTCCACAAATGCCTGGGGTCAGTGCACGACACCGAATTCTCATCGCAAATGTCGACTTTTTCCGGAGAGCCCTGCAAAAGGTGAAGGAGCCTCAGCCGACAGAAGATGACTTGAAGGCAAAGTTTTCTCTTTTGCAGATTCCCAAGGATGACCTGCAACTCACTGGCTACATTGGTGAGGGAGGTTTTAGTCGGGTGTACAGCGGCCTTTGCAGGAATGTCCGGGTGGCGGCCAAATCCACCGAGGGTGTGCGAGAGAAGAAGGAGTTGACGAACCAGATCTCTTCAAAGCGGGTGCCAGTGAGCTTTTACAATGAGATCCACATCTTACACCGACTGCAAGAGCACCCCAACTTTCCAGTCCTCATCGGATACAGTCTTCCTCACAACATCATCGTGATGGAACTTGTGCCAGGCCAGTCCTTGCATGACCTGTTGCATTCGCGGAAGAGGCGGACGTTTCTATCGATCTATCGGGAGTGTGACTTCGGCTACAGAGATATTTTGCATGTGGCCAAGGAGATTTGCAATGGCATGGCCTACATGCACGCTCTAAACATCGTTCATTGCGACATCAAGACCATGAACATCTTAGTGTCAAATCATCAACCAGCACCCGATCGAGCGCGCTGGTCTTGCCTACCATGGGTGGCTTCTGCGCGTGAGACACGGGAACCTTTGTCCGTGAAGATTGTGGACTTTGGCTTTGCCCAGGACATCGACGTGGAAGAGACTTCGATGGTGGAAGATTTCTGCCGGACTGTCCATGTTGGGTGTTTGGGCACCTACCAGTATATGGCCCCAGAAGTCTTCCGGGCGGAAGGATACTGCAAAGCCTCGGACGTTTACTCGTTTGGGATGGTTTTGTGGGAGATGATTGCAAACCGAGTTCCCTTCCAAGACTATACTGCCTTTCAAGTCATGGCACAGGTGGGATTTGCCCGGAAGCTGCCAGAGCCACCGGAGATTTGCCCCCTGAGTTTGCAGAAGTTGCTCTACAGTGCTTTGCGAGTTGAGCCCAGAGAGAGGCAACGCTTTTTGGACCTCGCGGAACAATGCAAGCAGCTTTTGACCTCCAGAAGCGTTGAGATCGAATCCATGTTTTGGAATTGGCTTGCCTTAGTCTAAATTGTGTCTCAATGGGGTCTCAACCTCCCCATATCTTGTGCCGAGTCTCAAGAAGAGTCTGGGCAAGGCCTTTTGGCGCTGTTCAACCGTCTCAATGCAAACGCATTGATTTGCCATCTCAAAAAGACAGACTTCTGCACCATGCCAGGCCACAGTCCGCAAAAGGGCCAGTCGGCCTAGATCGGATCCATCTCAAGTGTCTCAACTGAGGTCGGTGAGAGGTCCCGAACCTCCTTGCAGGCCGCTAACTGGGGGGGGATGCCGCAGTGGTTACGCGCGGCGGTGGGGGCATGGGCCGGTGGCACGGTGCGTCAGGCTTCTTTGGCTGGTACCTCGAAGTGGCAAAAGCTCACAGAGGAGGAGACAGGCTGGGAAGCTCATCGTTCATGAAATCTTGGAGAAGCTTCAGGAGCATTCTAAAAAAAAGCATGTATACAGGTTGGATCCGAAACTGTCAAGAAGCCACAATTTGGGCACTTCAAGAAGCTGGTTCAGCTTTTCTTCGTCCGCCTGCCATCTCTAGAGATCGATCTTCTCAACGGGCGGCCCGGACCGGATCGTCCAAGCCAGGAAAGATCGAGAAATCGCTCTCGGGGACGTCCAAGCTCTTGCCCAGCTTGGTCGATCCTGGACTCCGGGAGAGCGCGGGTCGCGGGTCGCTCCGCCGACAGCGTCCGACGGTGGAGGGAGGGAGGTGTTGGTGTTCTTTTTTCTTGTTCATGTGGGCTTGACTGGCCAGATGTCATCAAAGAAGTGTTCATTTTGTTGGATTTGGTTGGACTGGCCTCCACCAGAAGCTGATGGAGATGGACTTATCCATCGCATTCCATCGCCCTTTTGAGTCCAGCAACTCAATCCATCCAGCTTCAGGGCGTGCAAAGGGCCGTTTTTTCCCACCTCCTATCTGTCTTCGCACCGCCAAGGATGAGGACCAAGATGCCAAGACTGTGAAGCTTCAAAGCTATCAGAACTCAATCACTATGAAAGAGGCCAGGTATCGATGATTCTCATCATATCATATCTACATTTCAAGCGCTGAATCGCGTACTTGAACTTGAACCTATCATTCCGAAGACCAATGAAAGCAAGTGCTTGGCCAGGGGTGCGGGTACAAAGTGATGTGCCATTCAATGAGAACCTTCCTTTTTCAGTGGAACAATGACCTGGTTGACTTGGTTCCCTGGAACAATGACAGACTGCATAGCAACAGTGTTGCTCGCGGGGAGCCTCTAGGACTCAGGACCCTCTAGTTTGAGACAGATCAAGGAAATCCCTTTCGCAACTGAGTGGAGGCCCTGGCCGTGCTCAAAGAGGCCGCGGTAGAGCCTCCAGAAGAGGCCCACACTGTGAGCTGAAGGAGTCCAGTTATTCATAGCTAGCAGCTCGACTCAGCTAGATACCAGAATTCACGGAAATTCTAGATGGCAGCACGTGGCAGCACCCCAAGTATCACAAGGAATCTGATTTTGGAGGAAGGCACGGGAATCTACATGCTAGTTCCACATGTTTTTCGGCTTTCGTGAATTTGGTTTCGTGAGGCCTTGAAGAAACCCGACCTCAGCCCCCGGGCTAACGTCTCCGACTGAGTCGGTGATCACACAAGCAACAGCAATGCAAGAGTGAGCAAATCTAAGAGTGAGCAGCAATTGTTCTTCACTTGTGCTTATCCCTCTTATTGGGTAATCCAGGAGGTATTTGCCACTGGGCAAGCGAAACCAGTTTGTTGGTGACCAACTTTCTTTTCATTACAAGCGTTTTCTTCGCCGCTTGAGGCTGGCTATAGTGTTTATGAGGAGGTGGCGGAGCTGAGGGCCTTTCTGGAGGAGGTGTCATGGTTTAGCAGCAGGTGACTGGGTTCCCTTCCACCATGAGGCAAAGAATGGCAAACATGGCTCTAGCTCAGGCCATTCAGGATGACGAGAACGAGAAAACCCTGAAGGACACTCAGAAAGGATAAAGAAGGATGAAGCAAACATGGCCATGCCACAGGGTTTGCACGGACTTTGCCACTTGCCACCTTTATTGGTGGATTCACGGATGCCATGTCTGCTGCGCTGATCGCGCCGATCGCTCTGTGTGACGCCGGGACCGACCGGGCCGCTACGTCTCTCGACGTCTCGATCAACGTTTCTCGACGTCGCAGGATCTTGGCGTTCCAGACGCCCATTCTCAAATGCACAGGGCGTCATGTGCACGGCACATAGGGCACTCAGATATTGGATGGCACAGATCCAAAGCTTGGTGTTTGAGATGCATGGTGTTCCTGCATGGAATGATTTTGATTCGCCTTGCACAGCCGCGCTTGTATTTCTAAGATTGGCGGCTCATGCAACTCTTATCCTTCCAAAGCTGAAGGAATTATGGAGGCGCGTTTGTTCTCGTTGAGAGAACATGCAGGGATCTATCAGCTTAACCTGAGGAGTGGTAGTTCGTTGCCTTCGAAGAACCCCATGGGCATGAAGACAAACAGCTCCGTCAAACAACTCCTTGGGCATGACCCAATGTCCCATGGTTTGATGACATCTATATGATGACCTGACGACTCCTTGGTCATCTCGAAGGGCACAGGGCATATGATTCCCGTCTCACATCGGCGCGTTCCTCTGCCAGGTGACGCTTCAGCTCGGCACCCGGGAGACCGAACACCGCGAACACCGAGGGCTTTGGTCGGGTTCCGGTTCGGCCCCGCGGCCGGAATCTGAGGTCGCCTCCGAAACGGCAAGCTTCAGCCATGTCAGAGGAGGGAGTTCTTCTTTCCGGGTGTGTGCTGGGTGTTTTTTTTTCCATGGCGCCAGTACAGAAAGCACTCTTGAGAGGCTTAGCGAGAGGCTGTTGGTCGTAGTAGCGTTCTGGTTGCGTGTCTGGAGTTCGGAAGCTGGCCAGGAGTTGTACGACTCCGAGAGCATCGTGTAGGGAGCTTAAGGGACATGAAGGGCGAAGGGGAAGGTTCATGACGAGTCCTGAGGTGCGACAAGAGTCATTCTTTGATCTCCAATGCGTCTTGGGCTGTGAAGGCCTCAGAAAAAAACAAGACCTGGAGACCTGGATTGACGGGTGTCCTAAACACATCCACGGACCAGTGGGCGACCACTTTCAGTAGGCTGTAGAGAGAAGAACAACTGCCAATGCATCATCTGCCAATGCGTGGTCCAGCGGCTCGGCGCTTGAGAAATGTGAGACCCATGGCACCGAACTGCTTGGGGTTCTTATGGGTTTCGGTGCCACGGTTGGTGTTTCTGGTTTCTGGAAGGTCTGCAAATCTGCAAACTTGTTGGGAGATGCCATTGCTGGTCGAATACCGACGTGCTGGGTGGTCGCGCGTACTTGCCTTGGGGTTTGCAAGTCGAAGACGCTCCCACAGTAATCCACAGTATCTCATTTGCTTTGCCACTTTGCTGCTTTTGCATGTTTTGCTGCAGCAGAGTTCGTATCTCCAGACGGCGCAGATGACGTTGAAGCTTGCTGCATGTCTAAGAACAACTTGGAACAGTTGAAAATGGTCGAAAGTTGCTAGTCGCTCGCAGAAGAATGTTGCGTGAGCTTCGGACCTCCACACACCTGTAGTTTGGTTGCAACATCAACGTGAACATAGTGGCACCCAGAAGCGCGGTTTGGCACAGGGAGCACTTTTCGGATGCGTGATGTTGTGTGGATCTCAACCAAGTTCATGCCGCTTGGAATCTTGAATCAACGGTGGGCACACTGAGTTGATGCTCATGTTGAGTCGACTCCAAAGTACGACTTGACATTTGTTTTTGCGCACTGGTGACCACAGGTGTGTTTTCTCCACAGGTCTCAAATCCTGGGGACAGCCTGGCGTACAGTCATTCTGGAACTTCAGGTTCAGTCCTCAGCAAATGGCTGAACATGGGCTGAACATGGTCGTTTAAGTCGAAGAAGAGATCGATATGAGCTATTTTTTGGTACCGGCACCCATGTCCGATGCCCCCATGCGTCTATTGCCGGCCCCGCAGGCCTTGGCTCCCTGGCCGACACCCACGAGGCGTGAAAGCTCATGGGGGAAAAAGGCAGCCGGAACCTCGCTCGAACACACACTGCGAGACGTCTCGTTTTTTTTCTTCGCGAGGCGTTTGTTGGAGGTGCAAACGGTTAAACGTGCTGAAAAGAGCGAAGAACCACCTTAGACCTTAGATTCATCATCGCCGACGGTCTAACGCTCGACCTCCACCGGTGGAGACCTCGCACGTCGGTCGCGGAGCGGAGCCGGGTCGGGTCGTCACGCCAGGTTCCAACGAAGCCCAGGCCACCGGAGCCTGAGACGGTGGCCGCGGTGGCCCCTGTGGCCTGTGATCCCCCGACCATCGATGGCCAGAAGATCAAGGCGGGTCCGAGGATGTTTGTGTTGGCTTCATTCGCTCGCGTTTTTCAGAGAAGACTTCTGCGGGTAGGAGGTCGTACCTGTAGTGGGGAGGGGCCGGAGCTACTTCCATCAGCCCCCTCCCGCGAGCTCGTTCGATGCCGGGAACTGGAGGCCTTCGCATCGGCAGTTCAAGGTGCCAAAGGTCTGGGCGAGGAGCGTGGATCGAGCTGAGCTGCGAGCTGCGTGGATGGGCGAAGTAGGATGGTATGGTGAAGTGGCAAGCAGGTGAAGTGTCATACCTTAGGATGATCCAACTAACATCAATTAGACTGTAAGAGTCAGTTCACACTTATGAATCTTATGACTTATCACATCTTATCACTATTTTAGAGAAAGGCCTGCAACCGAACCATCATCATCCACGGTTACTGGTAATAGGATAGACCCAAGTCATACCATGGAAGAAGTGTGAGATGCAGTTGAGGTACAAACTCTTCCGCCACACATATATATATATATAGAGAGAGAGACAAAGCGCGGGCTTGGACAATTTTCCCAGATCTTAGATGAGTCTTCGGCGGTGCATGATTTGACGATCTTTGACAGTTTTGGTCCACACAACGTTGTTGAATGGCCACCATGTCTTTCATGGCCGATGGACGATGCATGCGAGTGATTGGAGAACTTCCCCAGGACTTGCAGAAAGACTTGTTAGAGATTCTTCATGCCCTCCCAGGCCCAACAGCTCAGGTTTTTCTTTGTTTTCGGTGTTTTTTCTCGATGTGCACACTTTTCTTGAGCCTCGCAGGTTTCAAAGCTTGAGCAAGGTGCCCTTTTTTCGCCATGCAAGGTGACCATGTGTGGATAAAGACAGTGACAATGGTGGTCAGTTGGCCCAAAAACGTTGTGACTATCCCAAGATGCCCTTGAGGCGCTTGGTGCTGACCCTGGAGACTGAAGCCTTGTAGGACCGACTAAGAACCTTGTAGGATCCCCTAGGACCGCGGCAAACGTCAGCCCATGGGCAGAAGTCGTCAATATAAATGGACATGAACAAAATGGATCATTTCAAGAGTTTGACTCAGTATTTTGATGATTTTTGATCTTTTTCCTGCTTCTTTCAGCTGGCTGCAGATGATTCAGGCTCTTCAGATAGGATGGGAGGCTAAATTCAACGTCATGGGCTGCCGTTTTCCGCCGACCGAAACACCTCACCGACGAGGTCGCATGAGGTCGCTCGGTGGATGCATGAACGTTCGACCTTCGAGTTGGAAAGTCTCTTGTGGATTTGGGCATCAGATGGGTTCAAAATATCATTATTACTGGATGGGCTTTGCAATTAAGTAATCAAGTATTATAAGGATCAATTGATTGATTGTATTATATCTTTATCTCCGTTTCATTGTTTTTTGTTGCGGGAGATTCCGAACTCTTCTTGTTTTTTTGCAGATACACGGCTGCCACACATTTGGCCCGCATCCAAAAGTGGACGTTCTTTGAGAGCCTCAATGTACAGAGTGCATGATGGTCTCACATGACGCGCTGTCACGAGCGCATGCGCAAGAACAGACTTTGGCAGCATTTCACAAGTACCACCCCTCACGGAGGAATGGCCTTTAGAGTCTTTATTCGCGATGCGACTGTCTCCGACATGTCACTTGATTGCTGCAGCATTCCACAGCTACAGCTACCATCGTCATGCTGGGTCTTAGATGGCGGACATTCAATCCCAATGCCGTCAACGCGCGATTCTCCTGTGGTTAGACCAGACCTTGTCATCTCTTGAACAAGCGAGACCTTGAAGCTTACGAAGACGTACAGTAACAGCTCAAACCTGGCAAGCTCAAACCTGAAAACATCCTGCGGGTCCTGGCCTGTTGGGTTCTGTGGGGTGATGAGACCCTCAGAAGCGCGAGCCTATGAATACGATGCACAAGATGCACAAGATGCACAAGATGCACATATGTCTTGAGGCATTTTAAGTTGAGATCTTCAACAGCTTGGAGACCGAGATTTTAGGTGAGCGTGTATTTTTTCCGGAACCCTGTGCTTGGTGACATCCATTTCTTGTCTGCCGAAGTGGCCATCCGACTGCCAGGAGTTGCCGCTTGCCATGATTCATCCTCCTGCTATGGGCGGATCTCCCCTTGGATTGATCGAAAACGAAGGATGGCAGCAAACATGTTTCAGTTGCCAACTGCCGTGCAAGGCAAAACTGCCTGGGGCGCAGGGACCCTGAGAGGAGTCAGCAAAACACACCGAAAATGCATCGCATCCTCATGCCGTCTTTTAGGGAAGGACACGTCACAAATGGGAAAAAGACTGAAAGAGAAAGAGACAGAAAACACCTAAGGTTCGAAACAACTTCTTTTTCTTTGTTGTTTCTAAAGACCAACTATTTAAAAAACACCGAGGTCCGAAACCGATGGGAATCACCCAAGTCCGAACGGTCCGGTGGTTTGCCCCAGGTGTCCCGGGAGACGGTCCATCGTGGCACGGACGACCCCGAAGAGATTCGGAAGTTGAAGGAAGCTCAGGTGGGGTGTTGGTCGTGTGAGGGAGGTCAGGTCAGGTCGGGAAGGCTGGGCTGAACAGACTGGTCCGGAAGTGGTAGTCGAGTTATATATCCCGCTCTGAAGAAAGTGAGGCTTATTTTCGAACGGTTAGGTGTAGATGATTGTAATTAGATGTTATTGAACATCACCCAGTGCTGAATGTTCTCACAGCGAGGACGATCGCTGGGCGATCGCTCCGAAATTGGCTGTTGAAAACAAGACTCAATCAATTCTAACATCAGTCCAATCTGCTTGCCGACTCCAAATGGTCCAGTCACCAGTTACGTCCAGTTCCACCGCTCAGCGACCTGTCCCAGTCCCACAGGGCGCCTCTTCTTCCGCTCCAGGGCTCCTTCAACGCTCGAGAAGAAGAGCGGCTCAAACGCCTGCACGAGATGGACACTGGGCCGCCAGTTCCGTCGTTCCGGAGAGGTCGGTGGGGCGATCAGCGGGTCGCCGTGACGCCGCCGAGGACGTTCACCGAGTTCTGGTTGTGGTCGTGGTCGATGTGTTCGAAGGGCCGAAGCAAGTCGAAGCATGTCGCAAGCCCAACCTGAGGAGCCTTGGGGGGCCCCATATGTCTCACCTTTCGACTTGACGATAGGATACTATAGGGCAACATCTTCCAACATGTTTGTCGACCTGAGCCGAATCAGAATCCATGGCATTTTCACGTTCCAACGCCCGAGGATAAGAACGCTTCTCAGATCTTGGAAGAGCGGCGGCAGCGCAAGAACTCCTTCGATCCCACGCAGGTTCCGAGCGAACGAGCGGTTCGACCGCAAGGGTTCGTTCGCACCGTTGGGGTGGAAGGATTGGAGCAACCTGATTTATTTACGGACAGCTATTTAGTAACGGACCCGACATTGGGATTGCAGAATTGGCATTTTACATCATTTTACTTGGAAAACGATAATACACTCATCAAAAACGATAACATGTGATAATCATGTTTACAGGAAAGCTTAGTTTCATAGCTGCAGTACAGCATTTTAACAATTAAGACCATCAGGGAACCTCGTTTCTGCTTAGTGTAGCCTTTCCCAAAGCCGTTTTTGACTTCGGACTTTGGCGACAGGTTTGTCCGAAATGTAGCTTTAGTCAAATGATAGCCTAAACGATAACCAACGTAAATGTAGACGAACCTGTGCTACGAAACCAGTGCCCCACTTGTATCTGAAACATGTCTTCCAAACAAGCTCAAGACATGGCTGGTCTGTGCCTCTTCTTGAAGCATCTGCTGGCCGATCCCAAAGAAGGACCCCGAATTGCTTGCCAAAGCTCACGAGGCTGAACCTGGAAAGCATGTCCGGTTGCTACCCGATGGAGCAGACGGATCCCTCGGATGCCTTGATCTGGACAGCTGAAAGGAGCGGCGAAAGAGGCAACGCGACCTCCTTGATGTGCAGCTGGAGTCTTCGTCTTCTTCTTCCTCCTCTTCTTCTTCTGACTCGGCTTAGGCCTTCATTGCATCGTGAGCCTATCTGCTTCCACGTCCAAAAAGTCTGCCGCATTGTGAAAACAGCCTTTAACATAAGAAAGGTTCAAAACGTGGAAAACGATAATATACTCACCAAATTGAAATGCGCAAGGCCCACATAGCGAAAGATGCTAAAGGGCTAGCAAATCTCTTTAAGACCATCAACATGGCACCATTTATGATTCATATTAAGTATGATCTATTTAGGTATACCCTGCAGTAGCACCCTAAACCCCAAACCCTTCTGATTTCCTGCTTTAAGATCGAGAGTTTCACGATGTTTTCCTTTCTCAATGTAGCACTTCTTCATTCGTCTTCATTCGTCATTCGTCAGTGCGAGTCAAACGCAGATCTTTCACTGCTTCATTCGCTCCACAAAGCGAGCGAAGAGCGAAGAGTCAAGCACCTGACCGAACGGTTCCGGTCGACCTCGATGAAGCGACCGAACGTCACGGTTCCAGGTGACGAAGAGAGGCGATGTGGACGAGCCTCGTCAGAAGTGTCGATTTCTGAAGAGCAGAGATGATAGCAGCACATCTCTCTAGTGTCCGGACGCTCCGTTCGTAGCCGTGCCCTTTGTTACTAGTAGCGTTCTTGTTCCTAGTAGTAAGGCCAGGAGCCCCTAGTAGCGTCCTTGCTCCTGTTGAACAGGGTGAGACCCAAAGGACAATCATAGAGACGCATGAGCAACCGGAGTTGTTTGCCCTGTACGAAAGAAGGAAGTGTGTTGCACTAAGAGCGCAGAGGTTCCAGACAACTCATCCTGCATCTTCCTCCAGACCAACCCCCCGCTGTTGGCCCCCCAGCTGCTGCTCGGGCTCTGCTGCCCTAAGGCCTTCAGAAAACAGCAGGAGGAAGCACTCCTAAAGATGCAGGTGGGGACACGGAACAAAATAGATCACCAAACGGAAGGTGATGTGGCTGGGGCGTATGATGCCTGCGCAAACGACCAAACGGACTCGCTCAACAAGCGTTTCCTTTTTTTCCGCATCAACGTGTGCATGAGGAGATTAAGGAGCAAAAGCAAGCTGAGAAAAGGCAGAAGAAGTTGCTGGAGAAAGGCACGCAGATGGGAAGTGTGGCATGTTGAAATAGCCATAATTACTCTTAACAAACTATACTCTTGACTACTCTCCTTCACCTCGTTTATAGTCAAACTTCAGGTGACGTGGATTTTGTCCTGAAGAGTTTCAGTTGTGTAGCCGAAGACAGCAGCAGTGTATTCTAGCATGGAAACTTTCTTGATATGACTGAACGGTGGAGTCCGACTCCCGTTCCTGTCCCAGCTCTCTTCATGTTGATCTACCTCGCAATGGCTGCTCTCTCCGCGGCTGCTTGCGCGGTTAAACGAGATGCAACATCATTTAGGCAAAGAGTGAACGATGAGATCATGAGGTTCAATGTTCAATAGTTAATGTCTAAAAGGCGACAAGAAAGATGTGGACCACAGGTGGACCACAGGATCCAAAGGATGTTCCGATTCACTCACAAGCCTGGCCCCATATTAGACGAACAAGGCCAAACAAACTCGCGAGGCGAGAAGAAGCCAAAGAAGGAAAAGAAAAAGAAAGGCCTTTTCTGCGGGCTCGGAGCTTTTCATCGAGCTCGCTTTTCGTTTGCCATGTTCGCGTGTTCCTTTCTTTTGTGTTTGACCGGTCCTGTGCAGGAAAGAAAGACAAGAAAGACAAGAAGAAGAAAAAAGAAAAGGATAAAAAGAAAAAGAAGAAGCAAAAGAAGTCCCTCGGAGAAGACCACAGACGAGAAAACAAACGTTTGTTGACAGGTAGCCATGAACCAATGCTGACTTGGTGTCATTATGTGTCATTCCGATTTTGAGGAAGAAGAGAAAGAAGTCTTCGTCCTCTTCAGATCCTTTGCCTGCACGCTGAAGAGACCTTTTCTGTGATCCGCATCTCTTCAGATTAGTTTGAAGAATCCACAGCAATTCCGATCATTTCAGAGGAGCTTCCAGTATTATCCAAGGATAGCTCAGATTCGTCCTCTTCCTCGTCCTCATCCAGCGATTCGAGCTCATCCTGATGCACAGATCTGCCAACCGATCCACCCAAAGAGATGAGGATCCCCAAAGAGAGCATCATTGCGGTTGTTTTTCGGGCACGTTTGTTTTTGATGTCCTTTTTGTTGAAGCTGGGATCCACATTGGTGAAGATCGCCGCCTAGAAACATGGATCCGGGCAGGCACTGCCGCAGGTCCATGGCCAAAGTTGTTTGAAAGACAGACCAGTGCAAGAATGCTCCCCAAAACAATCTTCTTCAACCAGTAGCGAGTCCGACGTGACGCATGTGTTCCCTCGGTGAGGGAACTCATGCAGCGAACCGGAACGCGGCTTTGGAGGGTTCTGAGTGATGAATGCGCTCAATGCCAGGCTCAAGCTGAGACAAGGTTAGGGTTCCCAAGAGGTGAAGCGATGTCGAGCACAGAGGTGAAGCTGTTTGGCAAGTGGCGCCTGTTTTGCAGATCAAAGTTCAAACGTGAACTTGACACTGTTTTGTGTAGAAGATAAGTAAATGGCGAAGAGAAATGAGATGTTTTGATATGTTTTGTGCAATCTTTGATACTGGAGAACTTGCATGGCTCTTCAGTTGTCTAAGGACCTATGAGGACGTGATGCTGTCGGACTTGAGCTTG